TATGAAAAAGGGAAAATGTGTGCGCGCCTGTGGATGCTGCTCCTTATTAAATTAGTATTCTTTTAATAGCTAAATGGAAAGTTTCTTTTTATTTCGACCAGAAAATAATTGCTCTGTGACACTGGAGGGAGGGCAGGAAGGTGGTGAGCCAGAGCAAAAACAGACTAAAATATCCCCCAGATCTTATCAAATCTGTAATTCTTCCACGCGTCATTTACAACAACTATTCCTGTCACTAGCTGGAAAAAATACTTTTAGCACAGCTCGGGAAAAAAAAAAAATCCTCTACAGAATCTTCAACTGATATGTTAATAGACGTCTGCACTTGCTTTGACTTTTGTTAAAAATTACAGTCACGTGTCTTTTTTTCCCTGGTGGAACAATGTGTGCTGCACAAAGTATGTAGAAGTGATATACAATCAATGTCTCACTTTTTTCCTGGCTACAAAAGAGTAAAGAAGAAGGTGGAACTGCGAGCTGAAATCTGGCATATCTAAGTTTTTTTGATGTTTCTGTCTATTTTTGTCCATTTCTATAACAAGGTAAAAACACTCCTGCTGTCTGTGGTTATCAATCTCCTCAGCCCATAGGAAAAGGCATGGAACATTTACAGGGGGCAGGGATTTCCTGCATGCAAGCACAGCAAATGGAAAGAACAATTAAGTTGATGACATGATAGCATGGGGCCATGACTGAGCCCCATAAAACTGGAAACATACATGTTTGTGGAGAAACTATTTCTGTCTCGCAAACACGCGCATACAGGGTCCAGTTCTGGGTGGTGCCCCTGTCACACAAGACCATAATCAGAAGCTGCTGCCTCCTCTAGCCTCGTTTATTCTCTTGCCAGCTCTAATAGAGGGTGAGATGTCACAGCAAAGTCATACTGAACAGAACACACTCACAAACACACTCTGTGCATGTGCTCCCATCGGTGACGTGAGTGGAAGGGTGAGTTAAGCGTTGCCGTTACCGCTGTTGTTCAGAGCCAGACATTCTTCTTGTACTACAGAAGAACAAGTTTGCCAATAACTTCACCGCATTGCCATATTGTGCTTGTGTTTACACAAATAAAGACTCAAATCCTCTTTATCTTACTGGCACTTTGATTACATTTAATAAAAAGATACGGCACACACTGCTCTTGGATACCTATTGCTTATTTTTGACAGCTGCTGACATTATCTCTTCTGAGGCTGTCTGCAAATCATTTCACACTGTAAATAGGTATTCTTGTTTGTTCACTTGTTTAGATATAAGCTTTGCAGCCAGCACAACAAACACCAACTGTTTTCATAGAATGGAGTGTCATGGTGTCATTTTTCTGTCCAGATTTTTGTTGGAGCTTTGTGTAAATTCTTAAAAGGCTTTAAAAAAAATCTCTACCGTAATACGTGGTATGTGGTTCTGATCAGTAGGGTTCACTGCTAAGGTACTTAGTACTTACTTTCCTTAAGTAAATACCATGGTCATTTCTGGGAAACAGTTTGCACCTCATACACGATAATAGCCAATACTAATCAGATTCTTTTAGAGATTTGACTGGATTGTACTTTACTGATTCTTCGTAGAATCACATATCAAACCATGACATATATAATTTTCAGAATCAGTGTATTATCCTGTAAATCACATTTGTTAATGCAGTTTGAATCTATAAGTTCAATAATGTTGAAATATCTTGGCCCATTCTTCTTACAAACAGTACAACACTGTACAATTACCAAAGCCTATTGACTGAAAAAAAAAAAAGTACAAATGTACTCTAGGTGGGTTGTATCAACCAAGGAGGAGAACTACAGAGCCACCAAGGCAGGTTCAAAGTTTGAATAATGCCCGTGTAAATACACACATTTGCTACTGAATGCATACAGGTGTACAGAGTAAGTGCATAATTGACCTTGTGTGGCATCATTATGTATGCATGGTAGTGGGTTAGTGTGAGCACACACCTGCTGTAGCCCCGATGCATCTCTCCCTCCACAGATGAGCACCAGCTGCATCACAAACCCCCAAGCTATCTCCAGGCGAAACCTAACAATGTTTTACCATACCAAATCCCCGGCTGACTCTCTGCATCTTTTCCTAAGCACAAACTGTCCAGTGTTTATAAAAAGCCACTAGCCATAAACTCTCAATTTCTCCTTGTTACTGCAGTAAAATAAGCCCTAAGGTGTTTTAGAGAGAGTCAGTCATAGGAAACCATGTTTGGTTGTAAGTATGAATTCATACCACGCTGATTTATATACAGCGGAACTACTTTTTGAGGGAATCAATTGACCTTTCAAGTGTCACTTCTGTTGTCAAGGGAGCAAATCAATGCCACAATCTGGTTTCTTCATGAATCTGAATGAAGCAAATACAATTAGGCCTGTGAGTCTACAGCATGGGATCTAATCAAACTGTTTTATCGTATTACAATGACTGATGTCTTTCAACGATATTCCAAAAGTGCTGATCAATTCTCTACAGTCTTGTCACATTGGAGGTGGATGCTGGCAGGGGTCGGGTCAGAGACATGAGGGATTTCGGTGAGACAGACTTGAAGACTGAAAACGAGTGAAGTCAGATGTCCTCCTGTGACCTGATCCGATTTTCCATTACTGTCTCCTTTAATCACAGTGAGCGACGGGAAATGATGAAAGGGTGGTGGTGGTGCTGGGGGGTGAGGGGGTGATGAAGAGATGAAGGGATTTTGGGAAGAAAGGGAAGGAGTCATAGCATGATGTGGCTGCGTGTGAAATGCATGAACCCGAGAATGAGCCTCGGGGTGTTTCCCCATTCTAAAGTTACTTTCACAGCAAATCCTGTTGACTTGCTTTACCTGGGAAAAGCATACAAACACACTTGATGTGTTTGTGTTCATGTGAGTTTTTCTCACCAACACAAAGTTTGACAACAGTAATTAGACAAATACTGTGGGCGAGTCTGATGTGTAAGAATGATTTAACTTGAATCGGCAGGATTTCTTTTTATTTTCTAATGAATAGGTGTTAAATTGTTATGTATTAGTTAGATTTATTTATTTTTTTAGAGTTAGTTAGTTGAAAGATTTAGTGGATATATGAAACTATTTACTGACAACCAACTTTCTCAAAGGGATTTTCTCTTCTCTGATTGTCAACAGTCACATTACTTTTCACTTTTAGAGTTGGAGATGTAATTATATTAATTACTGTACCTTTAACTGCTGTACCACCAACACCATGACCTTTGCTTTATTTAAAAAAATATATTTCCTTAGGTGAACCATGGCTTAAAGTGACTTAGTAACAGATCCAATTTTATAAAGTTATTATTTGTGGGAGTGGAAAGCTCAAATGAAGACAGTAAATTAGTAGTGATGTATGCTTCCCTTTCAGCAAAACAGAAAATAAACAATGTGATGCAACTCTTATGGTTGTTGTGACTGTCACTCCTGCTCAGTGTGTTTGATTTGTTGTTTTATCCTTGGCAAATTTTCATATGGTTTGCTTATTGTCATTACATCAGGCAGGGGTGGATATGGTGTCTGAAATGGGTAACATCATTTTTTTGTGCGTTGGGAATGAGGGAATCTTCAAAGACCAGTTACTAATGTTTTGGGAAGAGGGAAGGAGAAAAAGAGAATGCGGTGAAGACAAATGAGGGAAAATAATTAACACCAGGCGATGAATCAGTTCAGTGCTTCAAGTTCTGATTATTGACAACTTGTTATGATTATAACCGACCTTGGTATGATGTCTGTGGGACACAAATGATGAGCTTCTTTATGTATTTATTATAGACCAGTCTTGCACAAATTAAGTTCCTACTTTGAAAGTAGGACTTTGAAAGTGAAGATTAGTCAGCATTCCCTTGAGAAATAGCAGCTGTTGCTTGTGAAAGTGTGATAATTAATACTCATTAATATGTCTCAAATCCAATATGTGTAGAATTCAAATTTGCTCATCAACACTGAATTTTGAGTGATAAATACTCAGCAGAACTGACCAAACATTAGATGAATGAACATCATTTCTACCTGAAGCCCATAAACAGAGTTATTTGTTGTTTTAAATTATAACAGGAAAAACCTTACAGTATATAAACAGGAATGTGTGTACTGCTGCGGTAATGTAACAGCAGGAAAAATAAAACAAATACAGCTAAAATGGCAATGCTGATTATTTTGTCCACTATTTACTTAATATTTAATTCTTCTAAGTGTGATTAGTCTGAATAAATGTGTTTGGTCACACACATAGTGTGGTGCTTTTATTGCAGAGGTGTACTGTGTTTGTGTTTGTGTGTGTGTGTGTGTGTGTGTGTGTGTGTGTGTGTGTGTGTGTGTGTGTGTGTCGTCGTCTCACTATGTTGTTTAGTACCAAAAAAAACTATGATGTTCAATCTCTTGTAATTCTAGTACTTGTCTTCCTGCTGCCAGCAATATGTGCAGCTCAAATCCTTCTGTTATTCCTGCGTGGGGTGGAGTTATATGAAATAGCAGATACAAACAGGTACAAACACTCCATATACTGCCTACTTATGCTGAATGCATTGCTCACTGTCAACACTATATCAATAAAACCATATCCCTTTTCATAATGTGCTGCATATCTCAACAGGCCCCAGCTACCTGCTTGTGCACCTCTACCTCTACTGTAGTTAGCAGGCTTTGTTTCAGGGTTGGGATAAGGGTCCTAAGGGAATTTAATATGGTAATTCAAAAAACTGTATTTGGTGAAATTAGACTTTTCAATGAGGAAGGTGGTCTGAGAGTTCGGTTGGACCTGGAATGACTCCACTCTCCACCAATGCACACTCCTCAGTACGTAATACATCCTCACTAATCTCCAATCCTAATTTTAGCCTAGCCACTTTGTTCCTAATTCAAGCCATGAGTATGTTCCCAGATTTGCTAAATTGTAACTATGAAAGCCTGATTACAATTATATGGTGCTTATGATTTTATACATTATACCCAGTTTTTTCCTCTGGCCCTACAAAAGAAAGCAGACCATGTCGGTTGTTGAGGGTACCTTGTAAGGTGAGTTGGGCCTGAGCTTCGATGGTTGCGTTGGCATTGTCCGCCATGCAGGTGTAGATGCCGGCATCCTCCTCTGTAAGGTTGGAGATCTGGATACTACCTCCTCCCAGCAGCTCCACACGACCCTCACTGGAGGCAGAAAGACACAAAGTGGTGGGAAAGGAAGAAAGAAAATGAGTTAGATCTGACAGTCTTTTCTCCGGATACCTTTTTCATAAAACAGTATTAATAACCTACGTACATGTAACTCTGTTAGCATCACATGCAGGAGACCTCAGGCTGCTGACCCTATCATCACCCGGTCTAGAGTGTAAACCAGTATTCTGTAAATCTGTTATGAAGTCATTAGAGCCCAATTTCCATTCAGACAACTGAGTGGTCCCATATTCCCTACTGGCCTGAAGTTAACTCTTTTCTTTGCGTCATCACCTTTTACTAACTCTTTGAATAAATAAATAAAATATGCTAAAAGCAAAGTCAGTTGCCCTGAAACAAAATGCAATTTATAATTCCTCTTTATTTATATTTAATATATTGATTTTAGACAGATCAGAAATCAGGTAAAATATACTAGAGCCTACAGTATTTGACAGAAATAAAGAGTCACATTTAGTGATCCTACTTGGGCATTAAGACATCCTTTCAATAATGCATGTACCAAGTCATGCAGAAGCTACAGCTGGGGCTTGTAGTTTGTACAGTGTCACTACCGCAGTTGTTACATCACCTTAATTAATGTTTTCATTTTCTTTCATCAGCTGTTAATTAACTGTGGTGACAGCAATCGAACATCAAGGAAAAGTGCTTCTGACTGCAAGATCTGCTGTTTCATTTCATTCAGTACGGACGGATGTGATTTGTATCAGGACAAAATTGAATATGATTTTGAGTGCTTTCCTTTTCTCATACAGGCTCCAAGTACTATTCACTCTGTGTTTTGCTCAGACTTGAAATTAAATATTTTCCCCACCAGTTAAATCACTATGAATCTTTTCATGTATAAAAGATATATTTACATACTGCAACACACAGTGCCACGAGATAGGACTAGCTCACTGAAAATGGAATAACAAGTGTAACATCAGAGTCATGCTTTGCATCAGGCATTTCAGACTGAGCAATCTTAAATATTTATTATTATAAACTATTTGCGCCTAATCCAAAAATACAACCACATCTATTTGTATAGCCTCTCTCTGAACCAGTGACCCTCCTCCATTTTAAACAGTCCCAACTTTGATTTTCCCAATAGGCCCAGGAGGAAGCAGTCTGTGGCCAAGTTCTGGCTTGATTCAACAACCACTGGAGCATGGGAGTAGGAGGAGGTTGAGAGGAAAGAAAACAGAAATCAATAGCTGACAGAGAGAACTCTGCATTCAGAAAGAGAGAAACAGAGAGGCGGGGAGAAAAGGAGCAGCAGGTCGACTGAGGAAGATAAGAATCCAAAGAGGGCCACAGCAAGAACGATGCATCTGAGGAAAGCGAGATCAGTGCATAATGGTTTTTGCACAGAGGAGTGAGGCTACATGCAGAGGTAAAGAGTGCACTGAAGAAAACAACCCTATGCTGCAAGCTGATTTAGTTTTAAACAAACTGCTGACTAGCTAGGGCTTCCACGCAAGCTCCTATTTCTCTCCCTGAGTACTTCTGGGTTTTGGCAGCATTGGCCTTTGAGACCATCTGCCTGTCTGTCTGTGCTGGAGTGGAGCATTCGAGTGGCACTCAACCTGCTGTCACCAAAATGACATCACTGTGGTATTGTCAGGATAAAATAGACTATTCCTTGCAGCATTAACCAAAACACACGCAGCTAACACTTCAGTTTTAGGTTAGCGAGACTTGCTGTTTTAGAGGACAGTGAAACTTAAGTGTCTGGGAAATGAGAAACTCGGATTGCAAAATGTGCTGAAGATTGAAATGCCATTACAGATTGTTGAACCTTTTTTTTACACTTCCATCACTGATGGTAGCGGGCCGCAGTAATGTGAAAATACCACTCTCACACAAAAGTCTGTTTGACGTAGATTAAATGAACATGCTTTCCAAATTCTAATGATAACAAGATTTGTTTACCTTACATTAATGCAGCAACTTACACTCAATGCTGAAATATCTAGATTGAGAATTGCAGAATATTTGGGTCCGATTTCACCAAATTCTCCTCCAGTCAAGTCACAGCAATACTTTCCACAGAAAACACAGCAAACCTATATTTACTGTACCCTTTTATAACAAACCTGAGCAGTGTGAGACCTGCTGTTTCAGCCAGGTCAGGGTCAGGTTTATGAATTCAGGTCAAAAAGGCCATTTTGACCTGTTCAGACTGACAGGAAACACAAGCAATCCCTGATCCCCATGTCAGTCCAAATGGAGTATCAAACAGCACACTGGGCCCATTCTGACAGCAGTAGATTGTATAATAAATAAAAACACACTCAAAAATATTGTACTCAGCAGAAAGCTTGACAGAGAATGCCCTGGGTCTACACGGTGGGAAAAAAGGAGACACATGAAGTAAGTAGCTGCCTTTTCTTTTGGTCCTGAGACTGCAGAACATAACACGGCAACAATGAAAATGCCAAATGTCTTGCTGTACATTGACTACTTCCTTGTGCACATTAGTCTGTCTGATTCTGCTGTAAGGCCCTGCATGTCAAATCCCTGCTGAATGAAATTCCCTCCGAAAGACGTCCTGAGTTAGTTGTGCCAGGCATTCCTGCAGTTAGTCTCACCAAGACAACTATTCAGACTCTTGGCCTTTCGTGCACATGCACCATAAAGGGCATTGACAGCTTCCTCTTGTACTTGAAAGATGAACATACTGCACATATCAAATCACCAGGCAATTTCTCATTCTGTTTAGAGCGAGCCAATCTCCCCTCTAACTGCCGCAGCTTAAGTGCTCGGTGGAACAAGGAATGTGCTACTGTTTATAGACCATGAGGGAGGGAGACGGAGTAAATTGGCTCGAGCTGAATGGGCTGAAGACACCTTGTGCTATTGTGTGGGAGCTCTCTCCACTTCATGTTCATTTAAATTAAGACAAGGTGCCTGCTGCAAGGATATGAAGGATATCTTGTGCATTAGCTGCAGGTCCTTGGTGGGAGATGGTAGTAAATGGGGCTCTAATTAAAACTGCAATATCTGTATTCACCTAAAAAGTGCTGTTAAATTAGCCCACTATTTCCACTGTCACTTCTTATCTCGTAACAAAACAGGAGATGATGCGTGCGTGTGTGCAGACATACAGTTCGAGCAAAGTAAAGACCACAGGGTAAATGTGTCAGGCAGAATAGGTGCAATAATGCTAACTGGCCTTGCTCTCAAGTTTTTACTAATTCCACTCCCAACAGCTAAAATTTGAGACACTCAAATGTGATTCAAATATAATTATTTTTTCTAGATTTTCACTTTCCTCATCATAACGTCATACATCCGTTTCAAAATATCAGACACAACATCGTCACCCTTCTTATCCTCTCTAGTGTGTAACCGGTCCAGAAACGGTGTCAACATGTAGAGGTCTCCAACACAATCCTGTCCCCTGTTCTGCCATTCAGCTTTGAAGGCATTGGCAGCCACAGAGACTTCAGAGAAGGGCTTGGGTGGGGGGGAGAACACATTTGGTATGTGTGAGTGGTGACTCAGCCTTCCGTAACACAGACTAGTGGCAAGGTCAGTAGACCTGGGCGAGGGGAAGCTGCAGATCACTGAAGAACTGTAGGCTTGTGTGCGTTGATGGAGGCAGTGCAGTACACTGTCACAGAGCAATCAGTGGTGCTGTGACAGTACTTGGGCATGGGTCACGCTATCTGCAGCACAAGGGGACAGCAGGTGGACTCACGACTGTCACAACAAAAAAAAATGGGATTCATTATAAATGGATAGAGTGGGAATCTGTAAACTTTTCTTTGTTTGGTCTCTCTTTCCTCTGATTAAATGTCTTTTTAACTTGCTGCTCTCCTCCTCTCTCTCAATAACTAGCAAACCCCTCCGCCGTCTCAACCATCTCTCTTTGCTCCGTCATGCACCACGAATGCCAACTATTGTGCAGTTTGCGGTGTCGTGGTTCAAAGTGAAGGCAAATTGAACTACCCCCCTTTTGACCAAAAAAAATAATCATAACAGTTCCATGAATTTGAAACATGTTCAAGGTGTGAAGAAAGCAGTGGGATTTCATTTTACAGCCAAGCAGGACGGACAGGGGATTAGAATGATTTTTCCCACTTCCAAAACACATTTTGTTCTTTACCAATTCAAGTCGAGTCTTGACTTGATTTACCTATTGCTGTTCAGATATGAGCTACGGTATATTGGGGAAACAAATATGAGAAACAAAAGAAGAGAGAAGTCAGACTAGCTAAAGCAATAAATGAATGAATAAACAAACAGAGATTAATGTAAGAAAGAACCTTGTGCCAATAGCACAGGCTGGGACTTCTCAAGTGACTCAGCCATGAAAACGTTTTTGTTTTCCTCTGGCTCGTAATGGAAAGCCGCAGGGCCCTCGGGACAAAAACAACTCTTGCATACCTGACTTTATTTGCTTTTTTTTTTACCCTACCAGGGTCCCCAAGAATAAACCGATCGTTTGATTAGTGCATATTACAATGAAGCCTGGAGCCCATAACGCACTTAATATACTTTTAGATGGATCTGGTGGGCCCTCCGGGGTGCTTGAAACCACGTGAACCCTGTGTGCCCCATACTGTGTCACGTCTAGAAAATTACAGGAGTCCAACGGATTATAAAGCCTTTAAATAGGACGTATACCCACATCATGTCGGGTGAAGAGCCACAGTAAAGCGCTGCAGGTGAGCTGTTTTATGCTGCGAAAGACAATATGCAGGTCCAGGCTGGAAGTGAATGAAGACCCATATTGTCGATTCTATTTCAGCTAATGATGCTTCACAGTTTTAACTCCGTAGGTAAATTACAGTATGCGCTAAAGTAGATTTTCTCAGCAGCTATTCTGGTGACTGTAGATTGATCCAATGGTCAAAAGCCAATGTATTCCTCTCATCCTCTATTCCTACTTGGCAATAAAAATTACATTGTGACCAGAATGCAAAGAAGAACAATGGATGCTGTGACAGGAGACATGCTTTGAAGTGAGCCAGTGAGATTGTGTGCGTTTGTGATGTGCTGGAGACCGAGAGACATCCTAAGAGGAGATGCCTGATGCGCCATTGCCAGAAAACCATGTTTGCTTGTCTTGTTTTTTCGGGCCATACATGCCAGCAAAACCACTCCATTACCTTAACCCACTCTGCTGCTGCCATTTATCATTTTACTGGTGTTTTCTGAGTTATAAGCAGAATTCTAACCATATGGGCCTCCTGTGTGTCTGAAAGAATGTGCTGTGAATACCTACATTTCAGCCTCTCTCAAAGAGGGAAACATGCAGGGCAGAATAGTTTAAGTTTCAATTCAGACTCATGTAGATCTTATTTCTTTCCCTGATTTGTTTTGATTTCTTGATACGTTCTTAATCTAAAATCTTAATAATCACAGAGAAACTTCACTTTTCGTCATTTTCGTCATTTTAAGTAAATTTAAGTTTCGTCAAGGAGTAATATGTGCAGAGCTGGTACTGGATTGCATAAGATTGCAGAGCTCTACCTAGTAAAGTGTCCAGAGAGTGTGCTTACCTACATTGTGACACTTAAAAGACAAGAAACTACTACTTTCCATTCATCCTCCTTAACAATAAGTTAGGCAGAAGTGGTCTGAGTATCTGTCGTATATGTCAGCCGAATCTATGCTTTTCAGTGACATCTGAAAACACTGCTAAGAACTGTATCATTTGCTGCTGCAGGATGAATAAGGGCTCTGTACGAGGCAGACATTTGATGTTAACCTCCCTAGTAGTTACTAAGAAAGGAGCAAGTGAAAATCATAGGCCGTTAACACTGATAGGTTGTATCTCTGACAGGCTCAAAGGTTCAGTTGTAATACCCGTCTTTTTATTGCAGTGGCCATTCTCTATGCCGTTTTAAAACAACGGAATGCAGAATGTCTTAAAATTGGTTTAAAAACTGAAACGGAGAATTAAAAAAAATCAACGAGTGCAGTTGATGGTGTGGGTGTTAACAGTGGAACTGCACTTAAAAGGATGTAGAGAACAAAGCAGGTTAAAGTTCTGAGTGTCACTTTGTGACTTCACTCAAAAATACAGACAATTACAGATGATTGCATCTGAAGGATTGTTAGCTTAGATGGAAATGTAAATGGCAGTGGCATTTGCTCAGCCATACTGTCCCTTCAAGAGCAATAGAACCAATTCTTCTGTGTGTGCATGCAACATTGCCAGAGCTATCACACAGCTTCAAACCATTATATACGTAGGTGCTACGGGTTTGAATTCCACATCATTTCAATTCATCTCGAGTTCCTAATGCAACATTGTTGTTGTGCATTGGCAATTTCACAATGATACAACACAATGCCGTTCATAAGTCGTTTTTTGATATGACTTTTTATGATCAATGGTTGTATCTTTTGAAATGCAACTCTGGGATCATAGTAACAGGTATCGTCAAATCAACCAGGACTGAAGTGGTATGGATTATAACATCAGATTAACAATAAACTTCCCATAGACAGAAGTGTGCCTATGCATTTGTGTGTGTGTGTGTGTGTGTGTGTGTGTGTGTGTGTGTGTGTGTGTGATTTCTTTTCTCCTCTCGCCCAGGAAACAGTCAAGTGAATAAGGTGATGTGTGCATGTTTGTATTTATGGGAGACATATGTATGAGAGGGTTACACTGCAGTCCAATTGCAAAGGAATTTCCCACATCATGCCTCTACCATCACGCACAAGAAAATGCAATACACACAATCATATTTAAATAAAGGCGAGAAGACAAGGAGGAGAGAAGACAGACGGCTCGGAGGCTTTGGAAGAGGGGTTGATTTACATGCTCTGGTAATTCCATGTTGCTGGCCGACATGCATAATTCATCCATTTTATTGACTGTTGGGGAATTCTATTAGGTGATAGAGTGATACAAAATATGACTGTCCTTTTTGAGCGTCATCAGGACCAGTATGTGGGAGACATTCAATGTCTTTTTCTGTCCATACCTGGGGATGCAATCGTCGACATGTGGGGAGTGTTACGTATTCTGTCAATAGACTTTCTCTGAGCCTAAATAAATTTGACGCTAGGATCTGGACAGCATGTTACAACAGAATAAGCTATAGTGTAAAAGTTATTGCAATATCAATCTTTCATTCAAGATATTGTTTACCTTGGTTAAATAATTTCAAACAAGAATGTATAACAGATATTCTGAGTAGTATCCCCTACTTTTCCATGAAGAACTATATTTACATATAAATAGATATAGATGACCAGTAATCTATTTGGTCACACTTCTCAATGAGACATAAACCATATTTTAAGTTACATCATTAAAATGTGGGGCATGAGGAACAAAAATGAGTCAAATTGCTTGTTTTATCCAGTATAAAGTGTCACAGTGGAAAAGAATTAACGCAGCATCTGGGGGGCCGAGCATGTCTGTTTCTTTGTCTTCTCTTTTGTGATATTGACCCACAGCAGGCTTACTCTTGCACTCTTCTGTGCACAACTGTGAATGGTGATGCAAAAAAGGACTTTTGTTTTATTTCATGTCAGTGAACTTGCAAGCATTCGACATCTTCCTCGAGTCAGGAGCACTGTGCCAAACGAATCGCCCCTGGGGGTGCAACGTTACCCTATGCACACTATATGTACACTGTACACTCACACAATCAAGGAATAGACTGAGCCCCTATCTGAGTTACGATGGATGATTACAGTTTTACTTTCATTAATAAAATTGTGTTTACATGCATTAAGATTCATTGTTGGTGTCAAGGAACGTCATCCCTGCCCCTGCTTCCCACTCACCATATCTCTGCCAACAGCAAGAATTTATGACCACGACTGCCTTATCTGACACTGTGACCATCTCAAAAGGCAAAAATAGTGTGTATATATATATAAAATAGTATGATCCAAGGATAGCAGACTTTTAAGAGACAATCAACAGAGAGAAATCAACTTCTCAGCAACTGAGAGTCAGACAACCACCTGTTCTAAATTTCCATTTCAGGTTTTTGTTCTGTTCCCATCTGTCATCACAGACATCAAAGAGTTTTATAGCAGCCGTTAAGGCCAACATGGCAATATGGGCAGGTGATACAAAAGAAACAGCAATGTCTGTCTTCTGTGAGGTTATGAATAACACATTAATGAGACTCTTCAAAGAAATCCAACTTAAGAAAGAAATCCTTTATATGGCACAAAAAAGTGGAAAGTATTTCACTGTCTTTAAAAGTATCTTAGAGTACTTCTGAGGAGTCAGTCAGCTAGTGCAACGACTAGCAGAGAATTACAGAGGAGAATAAGACATCCAAGAATCAGTATTGTGTAAAACTACCAACCAAGGTTTCATGTTGCACTAATTTTTAATCACCTACATTATCTGAGGCTCAGTAAAACGGTCTCTCTCTCATATTGTGAACAAAATACAAGAGAGAGACAGGAGGAAAACAAGATACACGATCAAGTTGAAGTATCAGCAGCAGAAGCTTAATGTGATAATCCCTGCTGTCAGCGAGTCACTCTGCCTTCAATTGTTAGTTTTGACACATCTTCATAAACTTTCATCTCATGTCTAGAGCTTCGGCATTGCCACTTTCAATGCCCCGTTTGTGCCGTGCACCAAAGACCAATTAGACACTCTTTGCAGACTACCCTTTCTCTCTCCCTTAAATGGCACGCCACACCAGTTTTTAATTGACAGCAGCTCTTCTATTCCTCATGTAATGCCTGAGAGGGACAGGAGACTCTAAAGGAGAAAAAAGGAAAGTTCCATTGCTATTCTTTTTAATTGTCAATGTCATATTAAAATCAAAAGAACAGCCTTGGTAATGTATTCGCTACACAATCCATTTCTGCTCTGAAGGCAGGAGCATGGGGGTCCACTTCAATATTATGAAGACTTCCCTGGTTGTTCAGAGTGTGCTTGCTAATTACCAAAGGAGACACCCTAGGGTGGGAGGTATGCACGCTGGATAGTGTTGTGTAATTAATACAAGGTAGATTAATAAGTACCTTTTTAAGCTACCTCCCACTGGATGTCAGAGGTACTCACGGACAATTCCATAGGTGTTTGAGACATTTCACATGCGCTTGGAACTAAAGATTGGAAAGACTAATGATATTCCAGCTCACACCACACTGGAGCCGTGTGGTTATCAATGTGATGACCTTACATTTAATTTCACTGAAGGTAGGAATCCCATTCTGGGGTTGGATTTAGATGAACAAGCCCTATTTCAGCTATTTTCTGTTGACCCCACAAGTTGCAAAGTTATTATTCTACACTACTGGTACACAGGGGTTAGGTAAACAAAGAGCTTCGTTAATTGGTGAGAATCAAACTTCCCTTGTCCAGTGCAATTCTCTCCAAGGGATTTGAGCTGCCCTGGCTGAGCTAATGAGAGCCAGAGGAGTGAGAGCACAGGCGCTGTGACACTCTCTCTTGGCTCTTAATTTGTGAACTTCCCCTCAGCTGGCAACCCTGCAGCCTTGTCTCCCAGCTGAAGTGGCTCCATTGGCACGTCCAGGTCCACCCCCCTAGGGCTCTCTGGGTAGCAGTGGCAGAAAAGCATTAACACCTTGGGGAGCAGGCGCCAGGACTAACAGGTTAGTTTTTAGAGGCCAGAGGCACTGGGTAAAAAGGAGTAGTACATTATGGTCTGTGTTGCTTTTCAAAAGCTAGGAATGTGTGAGAGCCAGGGGATGCTGAGCACAGCAATGTAATGCTTTAAAGTAACTATTGTTGACTTTGATGGGTAAAGGTGATTTGGAAAGGTGGGTTTGAATGAGGTATAGCACACCATTTTCTACACAAATAAGAGTGGACATATGTAGCACATGTAAGTGAATCAAAACAGAGTTCATGCTCATACCTTTCTTCTAGCAGCTTGTCTCCAAACATCCAACGGATGTGCGGCACTGGGTAACCGGTGGCCGCGCAGGGCAGAAGCACGCTGGCGCCCACCACCTTGGTCACAGACACAGGCTGCACCAGGAACTCCAGCTTCCTGTCTTCTCCAGTTTCTTAGATGGGAGGGAAAAAAAAGGTCAGGGATCAGGCTGAGGTTAAGGTTGGGGTGAGTAAGTGAAGCAGAGCCGCAACCTTCCACGTTAACGGGTGTCATCTGTCTTAAAAACTTCAAAAGAACTAAAGACTGATGGGTAGTTTTTCCTGACACCGACACCAAGAATGGTCAGATGAATAATGTCCATGTTGATGTCTGAGACAGATGAAGTCTCGGCTCTTTAGGAGTTCAGAGTGATCCCATATACATTCCAGCTGTAACTAACTGCTCGAGTGGCAGTCTGCAAGAACCAGTGTGACCCCAGCACATACACAGGACTCTAAGAAAATAAGTAAAAGCTTAATTGTTTTATCATTCTATGAGTTTAGCTTTGATAATAATTCAAAAAAATATAAATAATAATAATAATAATATAATAAAAAATAGAAATGAAGGCTTTTTTTCAACTTTCTCTGGAAACCCTCAAGTTTCTTTATCCTCAGGCTGATTTGTTACTTCAAAGAAACCAAATAACTATAAATGTATTTCTGTCGCTTAAACATCTGGCAGCATCCGAACAGCAAACAAAATTTCTTTCAATTTCCTCAAACAGCTTTATGAGTTTTCCTTCTGTATGCATTCAGCCTTTTGCCACTCTACCACACATCCTTGGAGGAGACACACAGAGATAAAGACCCCCACTGGGGTCTTGTTGAAGTCTGATTTATGACCTCTAATATCTTTTTCTGTGCTGCCAGGAGCCTGGTGCTTAACAACTCAGTAAATAAAACTTGTAGAAGGGCGAGGCGAGACACTGCCACAATGGAATTCAGCCCCCTTTTGAGCAACAACTGAGTTACCGTTAGCATCCCTGATATCCCCAGTGGGAGTCCTACCTCTCCTTTTGGCATTCAACCATCTCTCACAACAGTACAGATTTCGTCATGCTGAAGGTAATGAGCAACCCAGAGAGCACACCATGTACCACTGTAATCAAATAATACCCTGAACTACATTTTAATTTCAATTTGCTGCACAAGAGCTCCTACAATAGAAACATAATTGCACTACACTCAAGGATGTGAACAGGTAAAATTGAGGACAAGCAAAAAAATGCTTTGACTATTGGATAACAATGGAAGTGTAGTGCCCAACTAATCCAAAATCATCATCAGTATCATATGTTTGGGACAGAAATTATAACTTTAAAATCTGATATCTAGCAGTAAAATAAACTCACTGATTAAATTCTTACTGGACAACATTTCGCCCACCGTCTGATAAAACTTTCTTTCCTCAAATTACCTGGAACTATCTGGAGCTGAGCCTCATCGCTGGACTTGGACGGCCCCACATTTTCCACCAGACAGCGGTAAAGCCCAGCGTCGGCCTCCGAGGCGTTGCTGATCACCAGGGCTCCGCTGGGCAGCTGGACCAGCCTGGCGCTCAACTCCAGCGGCTGGCGGTCTTTCTCCCACCGAGTGAAGGGCACCAGATCAGAATTGACCTCACATGGCACCACATGGCTGTTCCCTTGATGCACAGTGGCCGGCGATGGCTGGCTGGCAAACCTGGGCATCCCTGAAAGACAACGACAAGACAAGGATGTAAAAATGGCCCTCACTTCAAACATGAAAAATTTCAGAGGTAAGAAAGAAAAGGTCACAAACAATGAGAATTAAAAAAGGTTCCCTTCATACAGTATACATACACACTGAGGGGTTTAAAGGCCCTGAACACGTTTGATCATCAACTTATTAGTATGAGCAATGAGATTCTACATGACACTATTTTCTAACTTGTATTTTACTTGAGATTTAAAACCAAGCTAAATTTGAAACTATGGAAAAAAAATCGAACCCTTTCAGACCAATTGTTGTATTTGTGACGCATTTTACTTTGAGGAAAAAGCAACTTAAATTTAACAAATAGTTATTTGTATAAAACATTTGGAAGCCACATTGGAAAAACAAATGATTCTGGACCTTTAACACAGCAGCCTAGGAAAGTTGTAAAAACTTGTTTTTAACTATGATTTAAAAAAAAGTATATTTGGTTTAATCTTTCTGGAAAGGGCCAAAAAATTTAACCCCCACCCACCCCCGACCTCTTGCGCACACTAATCTTTATGCACACACGTACAACCACCCACACACAGTTGTGTAGCACAATCACTTATCCTCGATGGTGGATGTTAATTTGCCACGCAGAGCAGGAGACACACAGCACTAATTAAAAAAGGCTGGATCCACAGGCTGTTTGTGCTGCTGTACCCCGACTTTCATCTCAACGCAAAATAATTATTTCCTGCGTTTGAAGCCATTGATCTGAAACCAACACTGCCGGGCCGCGTTCGAAACAATCGCACACAATGGCTTCAATTAAAAATAACTTACAATGTGTAAACTGCAAATGGTATTCTTGGGTTTATTAGGGAAGAAGGAAGAGTTGTTTTTAAAAAGTAAGAAGGCTACTGCATCTACAATAAAAAGAATATCATGCTGTTTCATTATCATGGTGGGCCTCTTGAGTTTTTGGGCTGACTGTGTTTGTCTCCTTGGTAATGTGTGTGTAAGAAAGAAGCACACAAAACAGAAAAAATATGTGTGACTAAGAATGAAAGAAGATGCCCATTTCAGTGCGTGTTTATCTATTTATGAATGCAAGTTTGCCCGCTGCAACTGTGTTCTTCAGGAAATGATGCTGAACACTTGCTGAGTGACAATTTGGTGTCTCTGCCCCCTCTCACCTACAGACAGCTCTTTAAATCCCCTGCCAAGAGTGTCTCCGCGGTAAATCACACTTTAAGATAAGGGCCCAACAGCTAGAGACTCTCCTCTGGCCCGGGCCAATGCACACAGCCTCTCCGAGGATATTTCAGCACAACAGTTCAGCTAATATGGGTTTAGCAGATCCCAGTACTGATATTTTTGTATCAAAGCTGCCAATCACCTACTGTATAATCATGCCAGGGTGGAAAAAATCCTCAGCTGAATCATTTAGATTAGACTCACTGAAGCTCTACACTGAATCAAATGATTAGCAGCTGTAGTGCAGCCTGAGTAATCAGGTAGGGGGAATTCTGGGATATATATCAGGCTTTCAAGGAAGACTTTATTAATCAAAAAAAATAGAATGAATGTTTAAAATAAATAAATTCCATTGCAGATTATGTAGCTGTAGCCAGGACATTATAATGGTAGTTATATGATGGTGGTGTTTACTGTAAAATCCACTGAATCTGAATGTTCTGTTACACTATAGATTGGAAGCTAATATATGCCTGCAGATGGTCTTTAATCTTTCCGGTTATGCTGATTAATATCATTATCTTGATGATATTAAGAAAGATGTACATTATCTGTTACGTATTATACTGTATTAACCAACGCACCAAAGCTTTACGAAGGGTGTGTGTTTGATGTTACTACAGTGCATCAGAAACTGTTTATTTGTGTGCATGTCTCTCTCAGCTTCAGTGGAGTGGTCCTAAGCATCCTATTTATTTTGCCTTATATGGTTTCTGTGCAAAGGAGTGACACTTTAATAAACTTTATTCACTTCTCAAAGTGGACAATATTAGGTCTGCTCCACATGCAGGCAAGCTGATACGTTTGTCTAATCTTACTCGACAAACACTGACGCACAAACAATGTCATTAGCACTCAAGATACTGAACGATTATGCACTCGAATCTTCATGGATCCACAAAGCACAATAAACACTTGTAGTTACTCCAAGCCAAAATCAAACAATGTAGCTGTCCTGGCTCACAGCCTAACTGTACCAATCTGATAACTAGAGGCCAGGACCGGCTGTAAGTGAAATGTTCAACTTTAGACAGCACTCTCTACAAAAGAAGGAGAATACTGGAGAATAATGGAGCAATGACATTTCAAAAGATGAGGTTGAAGACAATTCCCTGAGTTAATGCGCCCCAGGTCTAATAGCTAGAGATATACCCACAACTTTGTGTAACGGCTTGAGACTTGACATTTGGCCCAAAGAGGACACGGAGGAAAAAGCCCTGAAATTCATGAGACACCAGTTAAAGACATGACTAGAAATGATAGTTTTACAAAGACTGAACCTTTGCAAAGAGGAGAGAAAGCATTATACCCTCACAACTTCAGTTCCGATTGTTGGGAGCACTTTCTGATTCAGTCTGCAATGACTCTGCAGCTCTCAATCGACCAATCCTTTGTTCCTCCAGCCTCATCACCTCGCCAGGCTGAGTTCATCAGTTTGCTGGGAAGGATGTGTGTGTGTGAGTGTGTGTGTGTGTGTGTGTGTGTGTGTGTGTGGGGGAGAGAGAGAGTGTGTGTGAGTGTATGTGGGGATCCTAACTCACACAGGCATGACTTAAGATGTAGCTGTGCTATTTTGTAACAGCCAGTTAATGAAGGGGATGCTTCACGTTATGATGTCTCGAATATGCATGCGAGTGCCTATGCATGTGTGTTGTGTGGACTAACTGAAGTGTACACAAGCACATTAAGTGTGGGTCAAGGCAAAGCATTGTAGACGAGGAGTGATGTGTGTCGATGCCAACGCTATCGATTCCAATTAATCACAATTCTCCATTTAAATCGACTCGATGGGGGGGCTTCATTTTCCACACCCTTGCACAGCACCATCTATTGAACAGAAGTGTTATAGTGCCAATCTCAACACTTATTACCAGAGTGTGATAAGGCCAAATGATTCCAAGAGAGCAATAGTGTCTCAGTGGTCAAAGCACAAGAATGTAGCGAGTTTTATGCTAATGGGAAACATTTCCTTTGTTCATTTCATGCGGCATAAATGGGAGCAAAATGCGATTCCGCTGATTTTATTGTGCCTCCAAACAGCATTTTCCTAGAAAATAAAGCAGTTAACCAAGTGGTGGCACCAAATGCCTCCTCTCTGTGAAGAGTGGTTGGTAAGATTCACCAAACCCTACATCATCTGCTCAGCTTTGCCAGCGGAGCTTATAATCATATGAATGCTAATGAATGAATGTGTCCATCATTGGATGGAGATTAGCAGAGAAGAATTGTGCAGCAGAGAGCTACGAACAGGCGTAACGACTGTCTACCCTGCCTCAGAGCAAAACCGAGTATGCACACATGCACATACACAGACATACACTTAAATCACACAGTTGGGTTCCTACTATTCTTAATTAAAATCAGGTATAGAATAACAATGAGCAGCTTAATGAAATATGCACAAGGCTTTAAGGATCTCCCTCTAGATTTAGCTGAATTAGTAACTGACTGCAGAATGGCTGCCTTTCACCTTGGATCAAAAATACAACAGTGCTCTTTGTTACATATTTTCAAGCAGAGTCAGTTTAAGTAATTAAGGAAAAAAACTGACACTGGCTTTCATTTTGGAGCTGCCCAGAGGACTTATACCTCCTTATATGGCTCTGGCCTGACAAAATGCTGTGTTTGGACTGGTTACATGAAATAACACATTTTCCACTGAGAAATTTGGAATGTAATAAATAAATAAATAAATACAAAGATCAAAAAAGTGGAGCAAACTCATATTTTCCAAGCCATTTAGACTTTAACTGTTTAACAGACAAGATGTAACTTGAGTACATTATCTGAACAGGACACTTACTTGATGTTGTTTGGCACACAGCCGCTTTTTATTTTAAGCTTTAATTATTTACTTCCTAGCATTAGCATAGACATTACCCTATTTGACTACTGGTATTTTCGAAATAAATGTTTTTTTTCTGGAATAGTTTACCTTATTAATGCAATCTATATAAATATTTATTATTATGTGTTCTTCTACCAGCTCTAACTAGATTATGATTCAGAGGCAGTAAAATCCACGTATTGCATAACTGTCCAACTCAGTTCACATTTATCTCTGAAACAGCAACTGTATTCACAAAGAGGAAGGATAAACATTAAATGCTGGGGCTCTGGTACTCAAAGAATAGTCTATATGGTAATTCTTCAAAGACACAAATCTTTACACTGGCAACTGATGAAAAGGACAATTTCCACAATTCCTAATGCTAAACAAGATAACCACTTAAAAACTATGTTGCACAACAGCAGCCTTATTTGAATTCTCAATTAATTAATTAATTAATTAATACACTTAATACAAAAAAAACATCCAAACTTTGTGCTGAGCTAATGCCGTCATAAGACTCAATTTCAGTAAGAGAGACAGAAACAAAGCAAAACACATTGTGCCAATAGTGCACAAGTCATGCCTATGGGACTTATGGGATACTGACTAAATATTGCATCCACCTTGTTTCCTTGTATTAGACTAGACTGAGCAGTCACTTGGGCTGTTTTCCAGCTGTGGCTTATGCCCCCTGCTGGCACAGTAAAATATGAAGGGAACACACATAAAGATTAAGTATATTACAGTTTAACTTAAGTGCAATGCTGAAAAACATAAAGACAACTATTGAGGATTTATCTTGCATTGCTGAGTCAGATTTCTGTTTTAGTTGTGTACTTATTGGTAATAATGATTGTGCAAACAGATCTAGACAATGTGACACAATTTCTAGATCCTTCCAGCACATCTGCATTGAAGCTTGATAGCAGAAGATTGGC